GCTAGTCACATCATCCTTTTTAACAAGGAAAGGTGTGTGCCCAGCTTGGTGGGTAGATATTTGTGGGTACCTCGTATGTACAAGTTCTGTGTTTGGCTGGGTGTGGTGGGTATTGAAAAAGAAAATGAGAAGCAAGATGGAGGGGTGTGTCAGGACATTCTGGAGAGAGCCAGAGCTTGTGAAGGGTTGTCCAGATTCACAGCAGATATTCAGAACCGAGAATCGCAGGCCTTCGAAAGAGGAGGATTTCCAACACAGTGTATTACAAAATGTCTTATAATCACTGGAGCGCCTAGATATAATACTGAAAAAGCATCCCCCCTCCATAGGAAGGGAGATCAAAAGAAAGAAATCCTTCTCTCTGCCCTGGCAATGTTTTTCATTATGCCAAGGATAAAGCAAGAGAGTCCTTTGACAATTTTTTTTTTCCATTGGCGTCTGAGTTTGAAATCTGTGGCACATAAACAATAATTTAATGTCCTCTGCCTCATCAATTTAAAAAAGTCAGGCCAGTTATGTACTTCTGCCTGAAGACAGTTGGCTGGACTAGAGGCTGTTCTAAAGCCCACTTCAGCTCCAAGAGTTCTGGTTCTATGGTAAACCACTCAAGTGCATAGAAAATATCATACCCTTATTGGCCTGTGCAAACAAATCCATTTTTCTCTTGCACACAGTTTAAGGGCAATTTGCTCTGCTTTTTGTTTTGGCAATTTAGGAAGGTTTCCATGGTTTCTATGTCCTCTTGGTCACTTTTTCTGTGTATCAGCTTAACCATAGATTATCAGAGGCCAACCTTGTCAGCTCTTTGGATGTATGTCCCTCAGGCATGCATTCCATGGAGGCGGTATAAACTGGCTTCGGGGGTGACATAATTTTAGAAAACATTGGTTTATGGCCCACCATGAGGTCATAATGCATAAACAGATACCAAGTTTATCTGTGGTATTAAAATTTCCTGGTTGGGGGTGATATGAAAAAATATATATATAAAATGATTTGGAGAGAGAGCAATAATGAAAAAAAAAAGGTTGAGGAGCACTGTCCTGGGGCAAGGAGTCCTTGAGGCTTTAAGATGTGTTGGGCAAAAACTGTGGAAAGAGCCAAGATGTCCATCGACAGATGAATGGATAAAGAAGATGTGGTATATATACACAATGGAATATTATGCAGCCATCAAAAGGAATGAGATCTTGCTATTTGCAATGATGTGGATGGAACTGGAGGGTGTTATGCTGAGCGAAATAAGTCAATCAGAGAAAGACATGTATCATATGACCTCACTGATATGAGGAACTCTTAATCTCAGGAAACAAACTGAGGGTTGCTGGAGTGGTCGGGGGTGGGAGGGATGGGGTGGCTGGGTGATAGACATTGGGGAGGGTATGTGCTACGGTGAGCGCTGTGAATTGTGCAAGACTGTTGAATCACAGATCTGTACTTCTGAAACAAATAATGCAATATATGTTAAGAAAAATAAAAGAAGAAGATAGCAGGAGGGGAAGAATGAAGGGGAGTAAGTCGGAGGGGGAGACGAACCATTAGAGACGATGGACTCTGAAAAACAAACTGAGGGTTCTAGAGGGGAGGGGGGTGGGGGGATGGGTTAGCCTGGTGATGGGTATTAAAGAGGGCACGTTCTGCGTGGAGCACTGGGTGTTATGCACAAACAATGAATCATGGAACAGCACATCCAAAACTAATGATGTAATGATGGTGATTAACATAACAATAAAAATTTAAAAAAAAGAAGACTGTGTCTTGTAAAAAAAAAAGATGTGTTGGGCAAGACTCTGGTGCATCAAATATCCTTTATTTTTTAAGTTTAAAAAGTCTTTATTTAACGCATTTCCTGTGCCCTTTCTAATCTATCACAGGACAATTTCTGCAAATGTTTTAATTTAGACATCTTCAAATTCGATGCAGCGTATAAAACCCTTTCCTTGTGGCAAAAGTTATAGCTTGGAAAACAACTCTCTTAAGATCAGAGTGTTCTGTGTGGCAATCTGACAGTGACGCCTTGCAGAAGGCCGTGAAAGGGGAATCCTCAGGTATCAGCAAGACACACATTTCAGTCCCAGACTTGCTTTGGGGTTAGCCTTGCAACTAGGGGCGGTCGTTTAAAGCCTCTAAACCCGTTTCCTCATCTGTAGAACAAGGATACTCATGCTTCACCTGATAGGGTTGTGAAAGGGTTTGAGCTAATGGACACTTGCTGTTTTGAGTCAGGCAGAAAGGCCAAGTAAACCATAACTGGGTAGAAGAGAACAGGAAGCCCAGTGGACCTATTTTGCCAAACTTCACAAACATCCTGTTTGAGTTCCTGCTGCTACCATTAAAAAAAAAAAAAAAAAAAATCTTGCATGCAGAATGTAGCCCCTGTCCAGTATGAAGAATGAAGTATACAAAAGTATTATAAGTCGTTTTCAGAGGGGGACTTGGATTTTGCATCAATGAAGGGACATCAGGACCTTCGGAGAAACAGGCAAGGAGCCGTATTTCTCCTGCTCCATAAAAATCACCATGATTTATTCCTTTAATGAAAAAGTCAGGGGCTTGTGCAAGCACAACAGCTGTGATTTTATGAAGGGAACATAAGCCAGATTCCTTGTGGTGGGGTTGTTGCCACAAGGGGTCAGATCTGGATTATTGGTGGAGCCTGGCATCACCCCACAGGGGCACAAACATGAATGGACAGCCAAGAGCTTGAAATAACTCTCAATTGTTGTAGGTGAGAAAAGCTCGTGCAACCCCAAACCAGACTAAGTCTGTTGAAGGAAGGGCTGTCTTTGATCTGAGGTTGAGCTGGCGAGGGAAAAGAAAATGGACCACAGTTCCCTTGCATCTTAAACTGGTTGCCGGTTGTCCACTCAGCACGTGTGAGCACTTTCCCTGTTGCCGGGAATCAAGGGCTTTGCTCCTCAATGTTAAATATAGGGATGGGTAAATATCTCAGATTCATCAGCCTTCAAGTATTTTTCAGATGTTTTAGGTTCAAGCAAACAGAATACATCCTGCTGAGCACATTCTCCCTCGATTTTTTTTTTAAGGACTGTGTGTGCTTTATGGGAAATGGAATCCATATGTTTCTGCTTCGTTTACACTTAAGTCATCAAAAGGTTGTGTTGTAAGAGCTGTTTGATGTCCAAGATGCCTTTTGAGCTTGATCTTTCTGTCCTTTAAATATAAGCGGCTCAAAAGCATTGGTCCCTTTAAAAGGCTGAGAAAGAGAGAGACCGAGAGAGACAGAGAGACCTAGGAAGGCCTTGTTGGGCCAAGATGAAATAGATCTGAACACCCGGAAGTTCACTTTAAGCTGAAACTACAACCCCATGAATTTCACATGGGTCCCGAATTTGCAAGAAAACAAAGGCTCCTCAGCAGCCAGTTTCAGAAGCGCTCTGATAAATGCAGAAAAGCTGCTGGTAAGTCAGCAACCCCACCAGAGAGGAGAGGGCTCTGAATGCAGTGCTCTGAGCTGCCCAGCAGATGCTTATGCCGGCTCCTGGAGGACCTGTTGTTTTCAGGCTTCCCCGGAGCAGTCTCTCCAGCCCAGATAAAGAACCCTTTACGCTATTTAAGCGCGGCGGTATCTGCTGTCCGTGTTTTCCTAGGCCAGAGTTTCCTATTAGTTCTTCTGCCATCTGGCCCAAGTGGCTGGCCACTGAACGGGATACTGTGGGTGCACGTGGGATGGTGTTTATTTACTGGGCAATGAGTTTAGAGAAATATCTCACTGAGCTCACAGTAGGGCCGAGAAAACATGGAGTTTGGGTCAAGTACAAAATAGGTTAACTAGGGACCCACAGATTAGGAAACAGCCTGCTGTAAAACGAAGTTTTCTCACTCCCACGCTTAGTCACTTAAGGCATGCTCTATCATTTATCTGTGGCATTTTAGGAAAGGTTTCAGGAGAACAACATCCAAATTGGAACTACCTTAGGTGATAGTATAATTGAAACATCATTAAATCTCTCTATATAAATAGTCATCGTTGGAGCATTGCAGAATGTTAGGATGTGGAGCTTCATGGTCCAGCAGGCTCTTTAGACATGAATTCAATAGAATTCACAGTCCTATGAATCACCTGTATTTCCCAAATCAGTTATCTGGGGGCAAGAAACAGGGTTGTAGAATCTTAGAGGTCAGGGCGTATTTTTTCCCCCAACTCCGCATCTTAAGGAACATTTAGTAGGATCTTTTCAACATTATCCAGCAACTACTGCTATAAACATCTCGGTGTACGTTCTCTGAGTTTGATCACACACGAGCACACACGCAGAGTTTGATGAGATCGGAGCATTTATTCTGTTTCGAAGCTTCTCTTCCCACAAATAGACTGTGTACTTTCCCCACATTTGTAAACTGTTTTACCTCAGGAGCTTCAGTGCGTGCAGAGTATTTCATCACAAGAATGTACCACGAGTAGCTTAATCTCTCAGTATTTTTAAATATGGGCCTTAGAAAAATCATTCTTTCAGATACATTTTAAAATGTTGACCTGAGTTCTTAAAGTTGTTTGCTGTAACCTGGGACACATTAGCAAATAAACTCCCCATAAGGGCCACATCTTCATGGAGAACCTCCATCTGTCTCCCTAGGAGGCCAAGCTTCCTCACCTACTGTAGATGATGCTTTCTAAAGACCTTAGACAAGATCAGCAAGACAGTCAGTAAATTGTTTCTTTTTCTTCCTTAGAAAAAGAAAAAGTCAGTTCTACTCCATTTCCTCCCTGAGAAGAGCCCTGTGACTGAAATTCGTGCCCCTCTCCTCCGTTGGAGCTCAGTCCGTTGGAGTCAACTTCCAAGAAAGCTGAGATCCATGCCTGTTGTACTGCTGGTTTCAGAGTACACCCTCCACCCCTTGTTTTGGATTTTTCCAAGCCGTTACCAGACAGCTCAGTCTTGTCCCTTTTGTTGACAGGTTGCCAGGATACCTCCAGGCTTCAAAGGCTGGGGTTCCTCTTCCGGGCAGCCCAGCCGCACATACTCTAAGAACTCCTGCGGGAGGGCATGTGAATCGTGGAGCTCCCAGCTCTTCTGCTCCTGTTTCCACCAGCTCCCTCCCTGAGGGGCTCAGCAGGCCATGACACAAGCTGAAGCAGAAGGGTGACAACAAATATAACGAGGTGAGGCTTTCTCGGAAGGCGTGCTTTTCCTCTGTTATCTAACTAATCAGTCAGTCTCCAACCTTACCTTTCCACTAATAATAGACTCTTCTGTTAGGTCATCCTGATCTCCTCCACTTCCATCTCACTAGTATGTCATAAATACTTTCTCACTATAGAAAAGGAACCCCAAATAAAAAGTTGGTTAAGCGACTGCCTTCGGCTCAGGTCATGATCCTGGAGTCCCAGGATCGAGTCCCGCATCGGGCTCCCTGCTCAGCAGGGAGTCTGCTTCTCCCTCTGACCCTCTTCCCTCTCGTGCTCTCTATCTCTCTCATTCTCTCTCTCTCAAATGAATAAATAAAATCTTTAAAGCAAAAAAAAAAAAAATAATGAATCATGAAGTAAAAACCCTCGAGTACTGCTAAAACAAAGTAACAAGTATCAGTTTACTTCATCGGATGATGCTGGCAGTAATGTGAATCATGGAGTCAATGTTTTAGGGGCTGAAAGAGAACCAAAACCAAATTCCATTTGAAAGGATAATATTATTTAAAGATTTTATTTATTTCTTTTTATTTGAGAGAGAGAGAGAGAGAGTGGGGGGGGAGGTGAGGGGCAGAGGGAGAGGGAGAGAATCTCAAGCAGACTCTGCACTGAGCACAGAGCCAATGCAGGGCTCCATCTCATGACCCTGAGATCATGACCTGAGCCAAAACCAAGAGCCAGACGTGCAACTGGCTGAGTCACCCAGGTGCCCCAGGAATAATATTATTTAAATGTATAATTATTTAAAAATAATTGTCTTGAAAGAAAGGCAAATAAAATGTTTTTACATTAATCCAGGATTATATGTTTATTAACCAAATTATCCTTGAAAGAAAAAGGGGTGAGAAAGGCTATAGTTACTCAGTTGGGTTGGTGGATTTTTTTATTAATTGAGCTAAAATGTACGTGGGGAAATGTAACTGATCTTAAGTTCTTAAATTCAAGTGCTTAAAATCAGTGAGTTTGACAAATACATATAACCATGTAAACTATCACCTTCCCCAAGACACAGGACATTTCTATCACCCAGAAAGCTTCCTCATATCCTTTCCAGTCCTTTGTCTCTCTATGAGCAATGAGTGTTCTGATTTCTATCACTAGAGAATAATTTGGCTGTCTGTGAACTTCATAGGAATAGACTCACACGGTATATATTCTTGTATCTGGCTTCTTTGGCTCAACAGAATGTTTTTGAGATTATTACATGTTACTGTGTATGTTACTAGTTCAATTCTTTTTATAGGCGAGTATTATTGCATTATAGGATTATTCCACATTTGTTTATCTCTTCTCCTATTCATTGGTATTTGGCTTGTTTCCATTTTGAGGGTCCTATAACTAAAGCTGCTGGAACCAGTCTTGTACAAGTTTCTCGGTAAACATATGGTTTCATGTATCTTAGATTCAGACCTAGCATTGAAACTGATGGTAGATGTATGCTTAACTTTATAATGGGTATGAAATGATACGGCACTGTGATTATAATTTGCATTTCCCTGACTAATGAAGTTGAGCATTTTTACATGAGCTTGCTGGAGATCGCTAGCTCACTTTTATTAACTATCTGGCTAACATTTCGTGTTCATTTTAGATGCTTCTTTTCTTGTTTATATCATCTTCACTGATCTATAATTTGCATCCAGTAAAATGCACACATTTTAAGTACACAGTTTGATGAGTTTTGACAAATGATTACATCCATCTACCCACCAATGTTACCAACATAAAACATGCCAATTCGCCTTTATAGTGCATTCTCCTCCCACCCAGCCACCCACAAGCAATCACCAATATACTTTCTGTCCCTTGAAGATTAGCTTTGCCTGTTCATAGATGGAATAATTCAGCATAATTTTTGTTTATTCAACAAAACATTTTTGAGTGGGATCTATATCACTGTATCAGAAGTTTGTTCATTTTTATTGTGGGGTAATATTCTATTCCATGAATGTGCCATAATTTGCTTACTCATTTACTTGTTGTCGTACACTTGTGTTGTTTCTTAAATTTTTCACTATTAAGCATAAAAGCTGCTGTAAACATTTGTATACGTCTTTTGTGGACATATGTTTTCACTTCTCTTGGGTGATTTTTTTTTTTAGATTCTATTTATTTAAGAGAGAGAGAGAGAGAAAGCAAGAGAGAGTGTGAGTGGAGGGGAGGGGCAGAGGCAGAGGGAGAAGCAGGCTCCCGGCTGAGCGGGGAGCCCGACATGGGATTCAATCCCAGGACCCCGGGATCATGACCCAAGACAAAGGCAGTCGCTTAACTAACTGAATCACCCAGGTGCCCCTTGATGGTGGTTTTTAAGGAACATGAGTTTCTAATTTATATGAAGGAAAAATTTTAAATTCTTTTTCTTTTAAGTTTAGTGATTTTTGTGTTTTGTCTGAGAAGTCTTTGTATCTCCTGAAGTCCTAAAGACATTCTCCTTTGCTTCCTTCCTGAAGCTTTATAGTTTTTATACTTGTACATTTTATATATTAAAGTTTTTAAATTTAATTCTATGACCCACTTTGAACTAAGTTTCATGTGTGGTGAAAGAAGAGAGTTGGTATTAACTTTTTCCCTACATGTATCCAGTTGTTCTACCATCATTTGTTTAGCAGATTTTCTTCCTTCCATTGAATTGTCTCAGCGTCTTGGTCAAAAACGAATTGACTGCATATGTGAACCAGCCATATATTTCTGGACACTTTTCTGTTACATAAACCTATTTCTCTATCTTTACAGGCATTGTTAATTTTTAATAAAGCAGCTCATCTTGGCTTATAAGTAGTGCAGCAAGTATTAAAAACAAATATACAAGTGGAGCCCTTCCATGACTTCTTGCCAGTGGAACTATGCACAAGAGTTTGAATTAGGTTGGGCATTTTTCCTTGCATGTTGTCCAGTTTTTTCCCTAGGCAATAATCTGATCTTAAGTGATTCTATAACAAACAAAACCCAAAAATATACAGTCAGAAATGTATTCAAGAATGATAATCCCAGCAAAAGAGATGCATTTTTCAAATGTATTTGTACAGAATGATACGTGAATTTAATTTCCATTCGTTCATTCAGTAATTTATTGAGTGTCTCCTATATTCCAGGCACGATTTTGGACAAAGAAAGAGGGGAGGAGATTATTTCTTGGTTCAAATTTTTGCAAGGAAACATTATTCATAATCTCTATTGCCTATTTAACAATGTATTCCTCACAATTATAGAGAAAAAAAACCTGTATCTGGTAAAGTAAACATCAGATTGAATGTCTTCATACATTCCTGTGAATTGACAGAAAATTCTCAACTCTCAAGTGTTTACTAAGGAACATTTCCTCAGGCTTCCCAAGTTTGCTATCGCTGTTGAAAGATACCCATTCCTTCTGAGCCTCAGAATGTAAACTATCATTTCTTCCAGTTGCATTTTTCAGCTTATTTTAGAATTTAAATTTCATGTATTTTTTTCTAAGGAAATTTCTTCGCAAACTTGGACCTTAACATGGCTGTTTCTTCTCTGTGTCTAAATAATTTAAATGAATATGCAATATCATCTTAAATAATTTTCCCAACTTCTGTGGTGAATGAAACATTTTCAAATATACATGCAATTCTAAAAAAAAAAAAAAAAAAAAAGAAAAAAAACAAAAACAAAAAACCCATAAGTGACGAAGACTGTGAACTGTTGCAGAACACCCTTCCTGAGGAAGCAGGTGGTGATTCCTGTGGAGTCTTAACAGCATTTTCTGAATATCACAGCACACAAGTATGGTACTAGGCATAGTGTATACCATGCTGGGGCCGCAGAGAGGGAGAATGTATGGGAGGCAAGCTGCTGAGAGCCTCAAAGTGGTGACAAGCTGCCAATAGAATGTCCAGAGTGTAATGCAGCAAGAGTATTTTGTTACTGTGTTGTTGTTGTTTTGAGAGAAAATTCTACGAGGAGCCTGACAGAGTCCTGTGCAAGCAAAATTTGGTAGAATTCTGGTTGCATTGAGTGCTACTTTGTAAATTCACGTTGATTCCTAATTGGATGTTTCACTGTTAAGATAAAATGGGGTCTCATCTGTAGGCTCTCATTCAGGAGTCATCAAAGTTATCCTGTTAAATGCCCAGACAGTAAATAATTTAGGCCTTGTAGGCCATATGCTCTGCAGTTGTGGGGCAAAAGCAGCCAAAGCTAAACACAGAAATGAATAAGCGTGACTTGGTCCAGCAAACCCTTATTTACAGAAAGAAGCAGACAGCTGGCCAGATTTGGCTAGTGAGCCATAATTTGCTGACACTTGTCTGATCTTCAGTTCTGATGAAATACCTTCCCATCTCATACATTGACATTCAAAGGCCTGTGGCTCTGGAACTCTTCTTCCTTTGTGCACCCAGTCCTTTGGGATTCCCTTCAAAAGAGATATGACTTCCAAAGAGAACTAAACTTTGAAAACCATCTGCACTCAGAATGCAGGTGACCAAGAGAGACAAGGCATGAGTAAGTTCAGCTCAGGAAAGCCAACTTCTCGGATCCTTCTTCAGCTCTCTGCCTAGTCACACAGCTAGTCCTGATCTAGCTAATGCTATGATCTAGCTAGTCCCTGTCGGTTATCCCCATTCTTGGGGGAAGCTCCAGGCCATCGAGGCTTGTTGCTCATGACTTGATAAACTATCTTTGCCATGAGGGCTTGGTCCGGTACGCAGTCCTTGGCTGCATTCTCCTTTCTCTGGGATTTGGTAGAGTTACACTTCTAAAGCTAGAATACTAATTCCTAATTTCCTGAGGATTACAAGGGGCAAGAGTTAGATGCTCAGGGATCCCCAAGACTTGAGAAGATACTACAAAGCTAGCTGCTAACCCTTCCTTTCCAAAAGGCCTGTTGTGTTTTCACTGCTCCATTTTAATAGAAGGGTTGATTTCTGTTTAAAATTTTAATATAAAATCAAGCTAAACTCAGCCAGTTCATTCAGCATTCAGTTTATCTTGTTGGCACCTACTACGTG